TCATTTGTTATCAATGACCCCAAGTATACAAACTCCTGTACTGTATCTAGGTCACGTAGCTCTAGGGATCTCTGCATTTGTCCGCCTCGGTCCACAAACATCAGCTTGGTCTTACTTAGATTTATACGAAGTCCGTATTGCACACTTACATGTTCGACTCTACGAAGCAGATCGGCGACCTCCCTCTCGTTTAGTCCTATTAGAGTAGTGTCGTCGGCAAAACGCAAGTTGTTAATCAAATGCCCACCCACACGGATACCGCCTTGCCAGTTTTCCAAGACTTGGCGCATAATATGTTCTCCCACCAGGTTGAAAAGTTGTGGTGAGAGTTTACATCCTTGTCTCACGCCACGCTCTGTTTTGAAGGGCATTGATTCCATATGATCCAAACGAACTCGGGACGTGCCGTCCAGATATAAATTCTGCACAAGAAAGGACAGATGTGTGGGTATTCCCATTTCCCTCAGAACTTCAAACATTTTCTGCCAGTTTATGCAGTCGAAAGCCCGTGCGTAGTCAACGAAACATATTACTATCGGTACGTTGAATTCCCTGCTCTTTTGTATCAGTTGTCTGAGATTTAGGATTTGTTCTCTAGTTCCTTTACCTCGCACAAAACCCGCCTGTTCCTTTGCTATCTGTTTTCCTATATAACTTTCGAGTCTGGTGTTCAATATATGAAGAAGAACTTTTCCTGCATGTGAAATGAGGGAGATGGTCCTGTAGTTCTCACATTTAAGAGTTGAGCCTTTCTTGTGTAAGGGTATGATCACAGAATCCGTCCAATTTTCAGGCCACTGACCCGTTCGCCAGACTTTTTGACAAATGGTGTGCAATATTTTTGTGCCTTCAATCCCAAGACATTTCAGGGCTTGTGCCGTGATGCCGTCACCACCACTAGCTTTGTGTTTCAGCTTGTTTACTGCCACTTCTACTTCCTGGAGGAGAATATCGGGTTCTCTCTCAAAGTAATTAAATCTCTCCTCTACAATGTCATCTTCAGTAGCTGCTGAATACAGTTGTTGGCAGTACTCTCTCCACCTTTGAAGCACAAGGTCCTTGTCTGTGACGATTTTTCTCTGAGTGTCTTCTATAGCCCAGGTTTTGGGTTTGAAATTTTTAGTTAGGATTTTGACCTTGTTGTACATGTCTTTAGTGTGGGTGGTGTACGCATGTTTCTCAATATCACTGCAAAGAGAATTGATATAATTATTCGTGTCCTTCCTGCAAAGTCTTTGCACACGAGCATGAAGCTGTGAGTAATTCCGGCAGTCTATATGAGTGTTAAGGCCCCTTTTCTTTGCATTGTTCCTTTCTGTAATAGCATTCCATGTTACTTCAGTCATCCAGTCCGCTTTTGGTTGTTCAAGTTTTGTGTTATCGGATAACGTTTTGACTACTTTAAGGACTACATGTTTCAGTTTCTGCCATGTTGTATCTGCTGATTCAAATGGATCTATCTCTAATTGACTAAGACGTGTCTCCAATATGTCACGCAAAGGTCGTTCTGCATTTTTTGCAAGTATATTGCTAGTTATGGCTTTTCTCTTTTTCACTGTCTTTAGTCGTATTCTCAAAGCAGCTACAAGTAATTGATGGTCACTACCACAGTCTGCACCAGGACGAGTTTTGGTATTAAACACAAAAGATCGCCACCTTTTGCCGATCAGAACATAATCGATTTGATTGCGGTAACCAGTAGGGGACTGCCAAGTATACAGACGTCGAGGGTGCTGCTGGAACCAGGTGTTCATGATGGTCAGACTATTTTCAATACAAAAATCCAGCAACATTTGTCCGCGTTCATTGCGACTGCCTAGCCCAAATTTACCAACGAACCCACGCAGGTCAGTATCTCCCGCTGTGTTGCCAACCTTTGCATTAAAGTCTCCTAGTACCAAAGTGATCTCCTTGTTCGGTATATCTTGATATACTTTTTCTAGTTCGCCATAGAAATTTGCTATATCTTCTTCTGAAGAGCTTGATGTAGGGGCATACACTTGAATAATGTGTACAGGTAATGGGCGGGCTGATATTTTTATGGAAATAATCCGATCGCTTATGGTATTGTATCCAATAATTGAATTTTGCGTTTTTTTGGAGATCAAAAACCCAACTCCACTAAAACTGTTGTTAGAACTGCCCGCATTCACCATCATTAGTCCATTAGGTGTTCTATGATGGCCACATTCTTTGATGTGAGTTTCACTTAGTCCTAGCACATCTAAATTATACTCTTCCATTGCTCTCTCTAACTGTTCTATCTTGCCTGGTCTGGAGGTCCCACAAATATTCCAGGTTCCAACATTCAGGGAATATTGGTTGGTAGTCAAATTATTCGTCTGAGGTGGTAATGGTCCTACAGATGCCCATTTTCTACAAGGAGCCTGAGGACTCACCCGCTTGTAGCCGGTCGCTAATTTCACACCAGGAAACCCGGAAACATCCTGGCGCCGAGGGTCAGTCGGTTCACATGACGACATGCTATTGACTATATTGGTACTCATGGTGATTTTCTTGGGATATATAGCGACGGTAGTTTCCCGTTCCTTTCCGTGCCAGTCTTTCTGAGGTTATTTAATCCTCACGGTTTCTGGTACCGCACCTACAGGGCTGTCAGGTTATCATATCCGCCGCCGTTTTAGTTTATATTAGATAGGGTCTAAATAACAAAGTACTTAAGATAGTTAAAACTCACCTTAAGTTTTTTTATTTTGTTTTCTAAAAGGAGCACCATTATTCCGAATTCCAAGCGGACAATGTAGGTATTTAATTCTACCTCCAAACGTTTAGCCATTAAAAAGTGCTAAAACAGAAATCAACGGCCGGCGATAAAAACCCCAGCCCTCTCTGTTTTCGGTGAAATTTCCAGCAATGGTTCATGTGAGACATTCAAAGCGGATATTAAAAATAAATAATAAATAACAATATTACAAAGTCTTCAGTATTGAAAAAAATATTAGAAGAATCTAATTAATTAATATGTAGTAAATATCTTCTTATAATAAATAAATACTGTATTCTTCTGTAATAAATATCTTTATCGTATTTTTTCAGCTGTTTAAGATGCCACAGTAAAAAATACGTTTTTATTTAATTATTTTTCTTTACACTTATGAACTAAGTATTAGTAAGTATTACTATCCATTCCTTTAATAAATATATATGTATAATATAATATATGTTTATTCATTCTATCTTGCGCCATCGACCACCTTTTGTCCTCTACCCAAAGGTTGTCTGGAAGAGATCGCTTAAGCGATAAGACCCCCTTTGCATCTACATACTATCAATATTTTTTATATTGTATTTTTTTAAAGGTGCAATAAAGAGTTATAAATAAAAATAATAATAAAATAGTTATAACATTATTACGACGAAAAGTACGCAAAAGAAGCAATTTTATAATCATAAGAATACTGAAGTAATTAAATAAACACAATACTTTTATGATGATAAAATGTTATCTATATATTATATATATGATAGAAGTTGTGGCCATGACGATACAGACAACAAGCATATACAAAAATATGGTAGGAACTATTTTATTTTATTCTATAATTCTTAACTCTTTAATTCAATATAAATGAATTAGCTTTGTAATTTTTCTCCGCGACCATTATAATTAATATGAAAAATTATGCGGTAAGTGTAAATAAATGTAATATGTAATTTTGGGTAATTTTAATAAAATAGTAAGAACTCATACGTAGCAACATTCTGTTCAGTTCAGGCATAGCGTAGTGTGGATTCATAGTTACAATGTTTCTTAAGTTAAGTTTTATGAAACAAATGTTATTCTATTCTTATTATAGAATTTATATAATCGCTACAGCTTATAATTTGTTGCTCTGTATTACAAACCCGTGTGAAATTTTTACGAGGGTAATCAGTAGGAATATAAGTTGTCCATGACTGAAATCCGGTTTGGACACCCGCCTAATTTTGGCTACTTCTCAGTTATGAATACTGTGTACAGCTATACAGTATCTACAATAAGAACAATATTTGAAAATAATCTATTTTCATACATTCTATTTATGTTTTTAAAGTATTGTTATTTTCTTTATAAAGTATTATTTTAAATGTACAGTTAAAACAATCTTATTAATATAATAAATTCGATAGTTTGTGAGTATGGATGGATGTTTGTTACTCTTTCACACAAAAACTACTGAATTGATTTTGTTGAAACTTTACAGTGGTATAGCTTATCATCAGAATAACACATAGGCTATAAATTTCAAGCAGGTGAAACCACGGGCACAGCTAGTACTATATAAAGAAAATAAGATGTAGGTATCCTCTGACTTGAAATAATTGTATGTTATATAATTATTATTATGGCTTAGCGGTATGTGCTGAAGTGTTGAACTGATGACAGGGTGTAAAAATTATAGATTATGTTTAAATTTGATGTATTATTTTAAAAAATATAATATAAATTGATAAATAAACACAAAGGACCTTGCCTCGATAGATTTTGATTTTAAACTCGTTTGTTATACAGAGTGCAAAAAAAGATGGGCACGCTTCAATCACAAAGCTCCTTTGGAGTTGCGCTTTGTGCGATTACGCGACAATGTACTAAAAATATAATGTCTTTATTTTAATTTAAAAATAATAATACAATTAAAATTACTTTAAAATGTATAAACTTAATGGGTATTTTAACGGACATAACGAGCGTCCAAGGCGATAGTTATTCATGCAGGGGATTTTCATTTAATGTTAGACATAGACAACTATATAAATATACATTGTAAATAAACTGGCTTTTAAAAAAATAAGTAATTCAATTGAGTTTCTTGCCAGTTCTTTTCAATTGGATTTTTATACTGAACTGGACCGGAAGGAAAAAATATACTGACGTTCAGAAGCGTCTAAAAATGTTCTATATGAATAAATGAATTTTGAATTTGAATTTGAATTTAAACATCGTAATGAATATATAATAGTAATTTAATTTAAGTTAAATAAATTGTTTTCAAACTTACCAGCTTTACAAGGATCCATTCCAAGATCACCCGAATCTTTGTTATCATATTGCGATGATAGCAACTCATCTATCGTATACTTGTGGGGCTCGTCCCTCTCCTCCGACGAGACCACTTGTATGTTAGTGCACATAAACGTTATCATTATAATACCAGCCACTGACGAACGCACACGTCTACACCACAAAGTCATTTTGAAATTCATTCTATCACTGTTATTCACTAGACCATAATGTTTTTAAATTATTGAATCTGAAACAAAGAGAACATATTTTAATTATTTTTATTTGATTAAATCACACAGTCCTACGCTAAGCAGAGCTTGTGTTATGGTACTAGACAACTGTTAGATATACATTGATATTTTTTGTAAATACATTTATTATATTATAATACATACATAACACCTCGGTCATCTGAAATTCTAGGCTTGTTCTCTACTATGACACGCATGTATTATACATATAGACCTTCCTCTTGAATCTCTCTATCTATTGCTGAAAACTGTATCAAAAGATATAAGCAGACAGCGGCGTCGATTTTATTTTCTACTATGTAAAGATAATGTAATCAATTGTTATAAACGTTAGAATGGGAATTATAATAGATATACATACTTGTTAGGTAACAAAGTGTATGTAAATTGGAAATGTATCTAATTATGATAATATGTAATTTGGGCCAAAGCAATTTCTCGTTGTAAATAGATTGTTATAAAATCAGTTATCTACAAATATCCCGTTTGTCACATCGGTTCCCAGTTTAAAATCTTTACAATTTACAATTCAATTCAATTACCATTTAGTTGGTTCTGACTTGAGTATTACAAATTAATTTAAATTCTGTAATAATAATATATATTCCATGTACTTGTTATTGTCAAAATTGCTTCCTTATGTACATACAACAATACCATACAAATCTTATTAGGACATACTGCATCCGAATAATACTGCAATAAAAGAAATGTCTATGTAGAATCGGAAACTCGTCTATATCTTCTAATATCACTGCTAAATTGAATTTATCCTACAAACAATTGGTTGGAGGTAAAAATAGCCGAAACAGAGGTAAGATGCTTTTAGTACATATTGTCCTTTATAACTAATAGTACGTTAGAGAATGTTTCGAATCCTTTTTTATATAATACTAGCTACTCGCCCCGGCTTTGCCCGCGTGTGCATTAATAATACATGTAAACCACTCTATCTATTAAAATTTAACTCTACAAAATCCGTTGTGTAGTTTTAAAAATTTAAACATACATAGGGACGGACAGACAGCGACAGCGACTTTTTTTTTATACTATGTAATGATATAACATTAATCTTGCAAATAGGCTACAGCTAATGACAAATGGAATATAGAACGATGGAACTAGATACTTACTCTACGTATCTAGTTCTATCGGAGACCGCAGAAACCGCAAAAGTGGTTTTTGTCATTAGGAAGCAATGTACCGTATATTGCTTCCTAGTAATTGGTTATAGTATTTTTTACCATTAGACAAATAAATATTAGAGACAGGCCATCCGCCACTTAGTGGAAGAAGATATTAAGAAGCAGATGTACCAGGATCTTACTATTCAGAAAACCCAGAACAGAGTACTCTAGCGCAGAGATACAGGGAGACCCGACCCCAGATAAACTGGGAACATAGGTTGGACAGAGAGAGAAACAAGAAATCATTATATATTTTTTATTATTGTGTTGTAAGGTACTTTATTTCTGATAACGTAGTAAGGTGTCTTGACTAAGTAATGCTCACTAAAATATATGATAGGTAAAATGTGATTGAACGCTAAGATTGTCGATTCATCTGTCTCTCAGAAGGCCCAGTCTTTGAACGGGTATATTTCCTATGATTTGTTTTAGTTATGTATTTTTATTAGATTATGTTTTGATTAATATAAAAATCATCTAAATAGGTTAGTACCTAGAGCTAGTGCTCTCTCATATTTTTCAATTGCCAAGCTATTTGCTATATAGGTAGTGTTTCGATTTGCAGATGAGAAATGGCAGTGAATTTACAGCATATTTCACTCGTTCGGATTGGCAACACACAGACAACATAATGTCCATGGTGTTGTTCACATATATGGGCTGACCAATGAATCAGATGATTTACAATTCCAATTATAAAAAAAATCCTATCCAAACCACAGTAGCGTTTACGATTTTCATCAATCTCGCGTACAGGTAAAAGGTATGTATGAAAGGTAACATGAAATATATTTTAAAACCGCTTTCAGCGAACTTAATTTCATACCCTTTGTGGCGAGCTATTTGAAACTCGTCGTTTTCATAACTATATATATGCATATATAAGGTGTATGTTCAAGTTACGGCCCCGTAATGTCATTGTGACACACAATATGTTAAAATAAAACACACAGATATAACTTTTTTAAAAAGTTTATTTTTTTAGGTAACTGGAATATTAAGCTAATGGCCTACGTGTTGATAGATGGCCACCATAAACAGCATCGATAAAATCACGTCGTCACGTAATGCCCATTTTACTACTCCTAACGCGTTGTAATTCTAGAATACTATGATCCTATGCCTTATAATTTACACTATCGTCACACTACTACTGAAACATAACTTACAAAACTATCGATTGAAGTGAATGCAGCTTCGGTGATGAGTGGTGTAACTAACACTTGCGTCAATCGCAGTTCATCAAGCAATCGTTATATTCAGCTAACCTGACGATTAATCGACTGTATATTTCCATTCTTAATTCTCAGAATAAATGCATGGAAGGTAATAGGGACATTACAATATACACTTTAATCCCCAGTACGGTTTCTGTATATAACCGATTATCACTTTCCATCACTTGGACCGTAAGGTTTTTTGTCATTCTAATTTAAAAAAATAATTAACAAAATTCGGCTGAAAAAATTGCAGCCCTCAGAGTAAAAAATTGAAAACACTGGAGCCCAGAGCAGGGTGTAAATGGTACTTACGTACCTACTCAACCCTGTTAGCAAGTCGATTTATATTAATGCGTAAAGCGAAAAATGTAAATTGTGATTAAAATCATAAATTAATTTACATAAAATTTTTAAGAGAAACCATAAAATTTTACGCTATAACAACAGATTTAGGTGCGCCAGTTATGTGATACCATTTTATTAAACGGCTATTCTGAAAACCTTGGAATTTAGTAAAGTCTGGATTTTTATATGAAAATTAGTTATTTTCTGAAGCTTAGCATACCTACGTGGCGTCGTTGAGTAGTGCTTTTCGGAATTAACAAATGCTTAGTAAAATAAACCTATGTTTCAAATTAAAACAGAACTTATCACTGTGTGGAGTATATCTAAGAAAAACTATTAAGGGACTTTATCTATGTAATACACTTATTAATTGTCAGAATTTTTATGTTTCTATGCATTTATGCACGCTAATCTTAGTGGTCGAAATTCACCCATAATTAATTTAGTTAACATTCATTAAGACAGATAAATAATATTAGATAAGTTATTCTTATTTTGACCACCGACTAACAATAAATAAAAGAGTATATATTCGTGAGTGTGTCAAATACTGTGTGTGTGTGTTTCTTTATTGATATAATGTATTTTAAAACATTTTTTTTTAAATATATTAGCATTCTATACTCCTTCTCTTTTAAACAATAATTGTGCGAATTTTTATACTTAGCTATTTTCGTGAAAGGGGTTAAAAATTTTTGCTTCAAGTATTAATACAATAGATTTATAAGAAATCTTTATCTCAGATTTGAACTATCACAAGTTCGTCTAAATTAACCCAAACTCTAGTTGTCGGGTGAACGTGACTTTGACAATGGCTCTCATGGCATCCTTAAAGTTTTTGGGTCCCATCTAAAGTTAACGGTGAGATCAAAATAGATATTGATTGTCTTTAAGGGCCTTTAGTCACAGAAATAGATAATAATTTTGATGAACTCACTGGTCTTGCGGTTTAACACACCTTACCTGCGAGTAACACGGGTTCAGTTCCCGCACAATACAAATGTATGTAGGCAGGCTAGGCAATGCTGTGTAAATGGTTGCGGTTAATTTGTTTAAATATTAATTATTAGTGGTCGCCTGATGGTCGAAATTCAATCGTAATTAATAAAAAATATATATATTCTGCACTCCTGGGATATTTTTTTCCCGCAATTTTCGGTAAATGTTTTTGCTTCACGTATTAAAATAGTGATCGCCTAATATTTTTATTCTCTTGCTACTACAAAATATTATTCGACTATTTTGAGGCCTATTTCGACTACACTAATTTATGATTATTACTGCCTTTCATTGCCTATCAGGTGGGTAAACCCTTTATAATCAACCAAACATAAGCGACCACAGAAGTAACCACAGAAGAATAATTACACATAGTTCGTAAAGTAAAACGAACCTACTCACGTACGTTTCTTGTCTATGCAAATATCTACGGGCGCCATAGTAAACAAGCATTTTATGATGTACCAACATCAGGCCTTTCGATGTGATGGTTCTATGTAACCGAGGTGGAAATTCGTGAAGTTTAAGGAGAGTTAGCGACAAGTTTCCGTTGAAATAGTTGAAATTAAAGGGATCGTCCATGGCACCCTTTAATCAATATTACGCCATTATAGGGGAGTTGCTACTCGTCAGCAGATGTTTTTGATTTTGATTTAGGCAGGTAATACAATAGAAATTTTTGTTGTTAATTATATACAAATAAATAAAATAGAATTAACAGCTCTCAAAAAATGGATATGAAAAAAAGTATATACGGTACTTAACTCAGTAAAAATATTTAAAAATTGTTTGTTTATATGTTTGTTCTTGAATCTAATCTATTTTTAATATTTTATTGACGATATAAGAAGATTATGATAACTGCATGAAGAAGTTTTTACTCAATTAAAGAGAATATTAAAATAATAAATGATGACATTTAGATTTATATACATATAACACATACAATAATTAATAATTATATAAACAATTGCTAAAAATTTGTACGCTTGTTATAAGGCCATGTTTACATATATGTATTACCCAAAACTTTTAATTTAGATTATTATTATTATTTTATTTCAATTAATAAAAAGAAGCAGATGATTTTATAGAAATTTTATTTATTTCAATTAATAAAAACTTTTATTTCACGCGGATTAATTCGCGGCTAACAGTTAATTTAAAAATAAAAGCATATCTGAAAGAAACTTTCGAGCGTAAGCTATACATTATTCATGCCAATAAACCTTTTGTAAGTTCTTC